CCTGGAGGTCGGCACAAATAAGTGCGTAGTCAGAGTCCGTGCTCGTGCTGTAAATCGAGTGACAATTTTTAACGCATTCTTTCCAGGGGTAACTGAGCGCCATGTGGCCGATTTGCGTCCATGGATGGTCCGAGGCCGGCTGGAGCCATGTCACCGTCCGGAGGGTGCTGTGTCGAGTTGGTACTCGTGAGAAAGAGATGAGCATCATCACACAGGTGTAGCAACCACTCACTGTTATCACTACGGGAGCTTACCGTGTTGGTCCCCTAGATGAAGCCCATCAGTGGACATTTATCCGACCTGGGCGTTCAAATCACCAGCAAGTGCCATAGTATCCGTACTTTATCTGTGACGGAGAAACGCGTCTAACTAGTGATAGAAGTCGTCCTTCACCGAGTCAGCGCTACGATTTGTGGGAGCATATGCCGCAATGACAAACAAGCACCGTTTGTCCCCAAGCAACTTCGATGCTTTGAACGGGTCAGATAATCTGACAACCCGCATCCAGGTATTCAGAGATCCAGTCATTCATCATCATTATACACGTTAGCTAGAGGTGGAAAACACCTTAGCTACTGTGCCGCAATACATAAAAGAAAAAAGAAAATAAACACAACAGTTGCATGCCAGCTGAGCTACCAGCAACGGATGGGCGTCGTTCGTAAAGCTACCAGCCGGCTACTAGGCAACAAGCAAAATTATGATGTAAAATAATATTACGCAACGAAAGGAGATCGTGGTTGGAGGGGGAGGCTAAAAAGGATGAAGAGGGACAAAGAAACTCACAGCAGGAACGCCACTGAGGTCGGCTCCTTGCCATGTCAGCAACTGTATCTAGCCAAACATGTTCATCGTCTTTTGGACCCCAACCAGGGAGCCGACACGCTCCAACCGGGGTCAGCCTTCATTCCTCTCGACCAAGTCATCGCTTCGTCACCTCCCTTCTTCTTCCGTCCACACCCCCGAGGCGCAAACAACGCACGTCGCGGGAGTCGGTGGGCTGGCATGTGCAGCATGTGGCCAAGTCATCGGAGCCTGGTGCGTGAAATGACGATGTTGAGCGGTTCAGTTCCTTTTCCTGTGCCATAAACAAGGCGTCGAAAACCCTCGTTGCTCATGCGGTGTTCCCACCAGATGTGAGCCAAACAGCGAAGGCACCGATGGTCGAACGTAACTAGCTTTTTATGTCCGATGATCTTAGGGGCCAGATTTCGAAACCGTACAGTAAGGCATAAGTCAGCGATGACCGAACGTGACTAGCCTCTTTATGTCTGTCGACCTGATGGGCCAGATTTCACAACCGTATAAGAGGGTTGAACAGACGGCTGCATTATAAACTCCAAAGCTGAATATAAGAGGCGTATAGTCTACTTAAGTACTTTTTTGAATTGTTGCTAACGCGACTATTTTTAAGTAAGTAGCTTTTTAATCCCTGTCAGAATGCTGGGTACCTTGGAGGCGGTGGTGTCACGTAACTTTAGGTTCGCCGGTGAAGACAGTATATTCATGAAGCCGGAGCAGACAGCAAAGTAAATCAGACGGGTCAGAAAACAGGTCTGATCAAAGATAACACAACAACAACAACAATTGTAGGGTCAGAGAAGCCAACGCAAAACCGATGAACCAAAGTCAAACAGCCAGGCCTTGTCATCAATAGGTAGGTACCGAAATCTACAGCGACCAGGTTCGTAGGCAAGCAAAATTGAGTGAAGGCTTTGAAGTCTGTAACTCACGTGGGGACTATGCAGTGAATGAAACAGCTCACAAGTAGTTCCTAACGAGTCCAAAGGGTGGAGTGTTGAAGTAATGAGGGGAGACAGCGGTAAACAAGTTGGATTGAGCACAACATGGCTGGAGAGCCAGACGATAAACGACTACATTCATAGGGGTTAAAGAGAAGGCAGAGCCCGAAGAGAAACCTACTCAATAAAAATCTGTAACTGCTTGAGCTGGTTTATAATGCTAGCGGACAGTGGCGGCTCAACAACGGAGTCATATCTCCGGGGTTCAACTCAGTCCTCTGCAAGACGGAAATGTGCACGCAATGGAGGATGAGCTTCATCAGTCAGCACAATCAGTGAGGCTGCCGCTCATCCCTCCTTACCCAGTGATCTCAGACATTAAAAATGGCATCAGCTGTACGCCGGTACGCAGTACCGACGCTTCGTTGCCGCTCAAACACCACCAGTCGCACGTGTATTAAGGATACTGCGAGGGTCGCCCTGCCCCTACGCAGGCTCAAACCGGCGCAGGCTTGTGATTCTCAAGGGTCTCGGGTTCTAGCTCTAACTGGGTAGGAAGAATCCACACTAGTGACCAGTCCGAAAAGGTGAAACCGCCTCAGATGGCTTTTATGAACTATGGTGACAGTAGCACAAGGTGTGCTTGTGACGAATCTCCATCGAAAATTTAATCCAAGTCTCTGCTTTCCCTACTTTCTAAAAGTGAGAGACTGTGTTTATCAGCAGCTTTCGCATAGGACTTCAAACGGTTTCGTTGGTTAACGGTAGAAATAGAGGGATTTGGTCACGGTTCTCATGAAATGGTATTGATTTTCGCTTTTCTTTGTGCTAACTCACAGTTTCTAACGTCGGCCGGTGGCCGAGTGGTCTGCACGTTTGCTTTGCAACCATAAGGTCACCGGTTCGAATCCGCGTAGGGGTGTGCGTCCTCGCGGTATACTCAGCCCGCGCGCGACTGGTGGTGGTCGCGCGGCAGCGAAGCGCCGTGACGGCGTACAGCTGACACATTATATTTTACAGTTTCTAACAAATCCTTGAGCTAGTCCTAGTATGCGATATGTAAGCAGATCCGGCACTGGCTTGACCAACAGACACAGTCGTCGTTTCAGAACCAATAGGCATGGAGAGAAAAATGTCATCAGCAATACGTACATACGCTATACTGACGCTTCGTTGTCACGTTACCAACACCAATCGCAGCACATAAGCTGAAGATACTGCAAAGGGTCGCCCCGTAACCTAAACAGGCTCGAATCGGTGATCTCCGAATTACAAGGCCGAGATGTGATCCTTTTGGCCACCGGCCGGTGTAACCGCGGAGAGGAACATCGAAACTCAATAGACTGGGTCTTATTGGAATGAGGAATGGGATAAATAGGAACAGCATTGAGTGCTGTACTTGAGCAGACGGATGGGAATTAGTGAGTACGTCAAAAAAGATAGTGCCATTACCTGAGGCCGTGTAAGAAGCATTCCACATGATTAACAGCAGTATACCATAAACCGATATATGAGGGAGCATATACACGTGGGTTTACTTCCCCACCTTCTTTATTAATACTGGAAAATTACCATACATGCGCGATTCACCGATCTCTGTTAAGTCCGACGGAACGCCACCAGCCTAAAAATAAGAAACGATTGTAGCGAAGACACCAGGTCGAGATTAAGCAGTTTGTATAAAGCGTGTACGGAAACTGTTGACTAGTAAGCATAGACTTTAAGTACGATCTGAGAAGAAGAAAAAACGTATACTCTTGTAACCGCAGTTTTAGGATGTAAATTAAAGACAGCAGACAACTCATGAGTAGAGATGCAGTAGTTGTGAAAAGGAGAAAGCTCGCCGTTGTGTCGCCACTGACGCCTTCACTCCACGACTGTCAGAAGAAGTCCAAAGAGGAGCCGGAAAGAGACTTATATAGATGAAATCACATTTGCTTATATAGTTTTGAAGGCGAAATGAAGAGAAGCTAATAACTTACACTTCGGCCAACCAACAGAAGGAAATCGTCAAGTGCAACGGGCGAATAAGCAACCGTGTAATCAAGAGCGAAGCGCATATGTCCTTAAAAATAGTATCATGGGACCCAAGCGTAAAGCGAACATCCATTTACAGTGACGGGCACTGGATAATCAGAATAACGAAATGTAGCGTTTAAACAAATGTCACAAAACAAACGAGTGCAGAATTAAAAATGGAAAACTAGTACAATAATTCGTAGAAAGTAGAAGTCACGATTAAAATTCACACACAATAGTGTGCTTTGACCGGGAATCGAACTCCGGTCCAACGAATTTCCCGTCCGCTGCTCTACCACTGAGCTACCGAGGGCTGACGATTAGGTGCGCAATTTTTAATACATGACTTCTGCTTGGTGCGCGACGTATTGCCAATGAGCTCACATTATCTGTCCTGGTGTTGCAGATTGGCTCACTCACCCGTCACTTCCCAATGGACCGAAGTATCTGTCCTTCGGATGTCCAAAGGGCGATGGTAGATTAATTGTGGATGTTTGTGAGTAGTGTAAAGTTCGTAGAAAGTAGAAGTCACGATTAAAATTCACACACATTATTGTAACGTAAATTCCTTCTCAAAACTCCTTACCGATAGTTGATCGATAGCGCACTACTTCAGTTCAAATTTGCAAGTTATCTAAAACACAACACATCCTGTTACTCATAAATCCATATGGATATAGTGTCGCGTCACAACGTAAGATCGCGCTTTTATGCGCCCGGGAAGAGCACATTGTTAGCAGTCATTGTGAAAGGCATTGTTCAGTCGGACAAGTAGATTGCAAAAGCGATTATGTACGGGGCCTGTTTACAGGCTACATGAAGAAGATTAGAACCAGCTAGAGAATTTTGAAGGATAAACCTTGCAATGCTCGGTGGGTAAAAGTTGACCTACCGGTATGCTGGTGTTTGGACTTCCACTCTGACCCACGAAGATTACTACAGAAGTCTCGCCGGCCACTCTGGAATGACATTAGGTTGATTCGTTCTACAGAAGTTAAGTACAACGGCTGCAACAAAAGGTCAGACCAAAGCAAACCACGCGACTGTATGAACTACGCCGAAATGCGAATTTCAATCTCAAAGTCAAAAATCCCCGAGGTCCCTTTGAAAGCGTATGCATTGCGCTAAAGTGCGCAACGCTGGAATGATCAGAAAAAGTCGGCTAATTTCGTCGTAAGATTCGGTTCCTCGTTTCGGGCATAATGGAGTTAAGTCGATGAGACTATGAGTACTACTTGCCTTGTTTGGGGATGATTCCGAGCGGAGTCGGAACACCACTGTCTTCACCTTCACAACGGCGCAGCATCCAGTCAATAACGCGGATATTCTCCCCGAAGCCTGGCCACACAAATTTGCCCTTATCATCCAGACGGAACCAGTTCACATGAAATATAAGTGGCATCTTCCGACCTGGCTTTTCCAGGTTTAACCAGTGTTCCAGATACTTGCCAAAGTTGTAGCCCACAAAAGGGCGCATTGCCATCGGATCGTGCATAACAACTTTACCTGATGTTAAGAGAAGAGAAAAGGTCACAGGGAGTGAGGAGCAATGAAACTGATGGAGAACAAAGAATTGCACATCGACGAACTGACCCTTAAATTCGGCTGCAGCAGTCGCTTCGGACTTCAGAGATGCACCGAGCATAACTCCGTGTTTCCAATCAAACGACTGCATCACGAGTGGGATACCTTCAGGTCTGCGGCCTCCGAAGACAATGGCAGAAATCGGAACTCCACGGGGATTCTCCCAGTCCGGATGAATAATCGGACACTGGCGTGCAGGACAGCAGAATCTAGAATTTGGATGAGCCTTGGGATCGTGCGTCTTGTCACTTAGCTTGACCCGGTGCCCCAGCCATGTGATCAGCTCCGTATCTGGATCGAATTCATCTTCCAACCCTTCCCAGAAAAAGCGTCCATCGAGCGACTCAGCAACGTTGGTAAAAATAGTGTTTTTCAAGCATGTTGCAATAGCATTTGGATTGGTCTTCCGATTAGTACCTGGAGCCACGCCAAAGAAGCCTGCTTCAGGATTGATGCCACGCAATACACCCTGCAAAAAAGAAACAAAATGAAGGGGTTTAAACAACCGAACTCAGTTAGGTTTAACAGAGCAAACCAATGGCAACGTCACATGTAGGTTGTTAAAACTTTATTGCGATTTTTAATCTTATAAGTAAATGCGAATATCTTACCTCAAACAAGACACTTTGAATCGAAATAAAAGCCATTGAAATCGACACTCTTTGCCAACGGGAAAAAGTTTATTAATGCGGGATGAACAAAGTTCCGGAGGCCTGGTGGCGAGGAAGTCGTTGAATGCGGTTTCAGCACCTTCTGGGGTTTTAAAACTCTTCTGTCGGAGGAGTATCCAAGTGCTTGAAAAAGTGACAATCGGTAAGCCAGAGGTCAGCGGAGTACGGCGCGAGTGAGGCAAAGCTTCGTAGCCCAGCTGGTGCAGCTTCCGTAGTGCTGGTAGTGCGACGGGTAGCCGAGCGCTATCGTAGAGAATTGACTGCTTTCTGTTGGCCGGTGCCAGAAATGGGTTGAAGTTTTCGGTTCATTTTCAAAGCCATGTTGACAATACTTCTCCGCTGAAATGGTTTCACGTGGATACAGAAAGCTGTGCCGGAGTATAACAGCTGGAACCAAAAACAGTCATCACAACCCTTTTTGCGTGTAATAAAGGTAGTTGGAAGTGCTGTGAAGTTTGATGGTGGTCCAACCAATGAGAAACGCGCCGTCAATTGTCTTAAAGGATGCACTTTTCATCGCACGTCACAATCCAGTCGAGAAACGGGTCGTTATTGTTGAGCAAGAACAAAAGTAAACGATGCTTCAAAACAACGACTTCGTACTTTTACCCAAATCGTACAGTATCCACTAGCAAGACTTTTCGATACTCCAATCTGCCGTAAATGTTTGAGAACTGCCACACGCTAGATTGCTTGTTGCATAATTCAGTACTTCAAGGAAAAGCGTTTATTCGGTAAAGACAGCTCGGCGAAAATTACAGCATGTTTAGAAAGCTAAACTGCTCGATATAAATTGCAGGTTCAAGTGCATGACTAGCGACCATTCTAAGTCGATGAGGTTCCTCCTTTGCTTCAGTTAAACAAAAAGTGAATCACTCACACGAATATCGGCCCATCCAAGTCCAGTAATCGAATCCGTCACGCCCGCCTTCCAGTAGCTGCCTGAATCGCTCGCTCGGTCCATCTACTCACTCCGATCTGATACTACCATCACATCCTCCCTTTTTTCTTGTACTTGCGCTTGCACATTGCTATTCACCTTGCCATCGCGTCGTCTTCACTGTATCTGCGGCCCTGGCCTTGCTCCACGCCATCTGCCACTCCACTCACAATCCACATTGTTGTCTCCCGTGTCCTCTCAAATGTACTCGATTTCTTCTGAACGTTTTCGATCCAGCGTTTATTTCGTATGACCTGGCACCGGTCTTCACAGTCAGCATACCTTTCTATCACCGCTCTTGACTATCCGGTAATGGTTGAACCCACACTTCCTACCCCACTGTTAGCTCAGGCAGTACTCGCGTACCGCGGTCATAGTACCGTTTCTGAGTGGTCATTCGATTGTTCTGTAATCGTTTGTGCTGTGGTGAAACTGGGCGTAAAAGTGTGGCGGGTGCCTGTATCAGAGTTCTAGTCCTTCGGCTGTATAGGCGCTGCAATGGGCTCAAACCAATATTCGGAGTGTTGCGATTCTCCAGTACTTGAGGTACGAGTCCTCGCCAGTTGCTCTAGCATTTGTTAACAGTCGCTTGGCCTGCTTCACTGCCGACTCCACCTTTCCATTCGATTGACTGTGATATGGACTGGTTTGCTGGTGCACGAATTCCTACTTGGTTGCGAACGCCTGGAACGCACCGCTGGTAAACTGGGGCCCATTGTCGGAGACCAGCACCTCCGGTATACCGTGCCGCACGGACTGACATCTGAGCTTGTTGATTACGGCCTCTGTGATGGTAGTGGTGAGTAGATGGATTTCAAAATAATCACCATAGTAATTCACGTTGTCACAGAATAAACCCACCGCCGCCTTCTGACGCGGTCGGTCAGGGACCTCATGCAGCATCATTTGTTCCCTCGTCTGAAGAGTTCGTGTGAACGGCACGCCTCACAATTCGAGACATGATTTTTTATTTGACCCGTCATTCCTAGCCAAAAGATCAATTCTATTGCTCGGTTAATGATATAGTTGACACAAACGTGAGCGCGATGAACGTATTTCAGCATTTCTCCTCGAAGCGATGACGGAATCAGAATACGGCTTCCCTTGAACAGCATAGACAGAGAGTTCATCCCGAAAATTGAAGTAGGGTGTTAGTTCCTTCGGAATCTGCCTCTTTGTCTCTGGCCACCGATTTAGAATAACGTCTCGTAAAGCTGAAAGCATTGCATCTTCCTCTGTGCGGCGCCTTATTTCCTTTACGCGATCTCTCACTGCCAAGTGCTGTACTAAGTTAACTGCTTCAAGCTCTTCAGGATTATGCTTGGGTACCAGCAGATATGCTGTTGACCGCGTATTCGCGATGAACATCTGCGCACTAGGCGTACATACAATTTGCACATCGTACTTGTGAAGCCGGACAAGCATTCGCTGAAGGCGACGAGGAACGACGTGCAGCGGTTTCCTGGCTATTGACACAAGCGGTTTGTGGTCGGTATACAACGTTGTCTTTCTGCCGAAAGTATAATCGTTGAAAGACCACCGCAAGCATCTCCTTCTCTATCTGCGCATAGTGCTGCTCGGTCACGGTGAGTGCTCGACTGCGGCAATCCAAAGGTTTTCCATTCTGTAAGAGAACAGCACCTATTCTGTCTTGGATACTGTCAGACTGTGCCTCCAAAGACTGCGTTGGATCGTAATACCCGAGTATAGACGCGCTGCTGATGAGGTGCTTGATAGTTTCGAATGCGGTTTCCTGTTCATTTCCCCAACTCCAACTTACTCCTTCTTGAGTTACCTTCTTGACCGGTGTCATGACATCAGCGAGTCTTGGCATAAAACGGCTCAAGGAATTCACCATACCGTTTAGGCGATGGATTCCCTTCAAGTCATTAGGAGGTGATATCTCTCGAATTGCCTTAATTTTATCTGCATCGACCCTGACCTCTTGTGTTGTTAGCAAATGCCTGGGGAAAATCATCTCGTCTTTCTGAACCTCAATTTGCTCATGTTTAAGTTTGATGTTGTTTTGCACACAACGCTGTAAGAAACAGTGGAGATTAGCGTCATGCACTTCTTCTGTCGAGCCATAGATCAAAACATGGTCTGCCACACATGTTACACCATCTAAATCGTCAAGCGCTTGCACCAATAGCATTTGAAAAATTCCGCTCGACACTTTCAAGTCAAACGGTAAACACAGTCAACGATAACACCCGAACGGTGTTGCAAAAGTAGTAAGAAAATTGGATCCATCATCTAGAACCACATGCCAGAATGCCGAAGAGAGGTCTACCTTCGTGAAACACTTAGCTTTGGCCAAATGCTGCAAAATGTCTTCTAGGTTAGGTAGCGCGTAATGCTTTCTACGTAAGGCCTCATTCAACGGTTTTGGGTCAATACACACATGCAGTTCTCCCGTCTTCTTCGTAATGATTGCGATCTCACTAACCCAGTCGGTTGGCTCGTCGACTTTGGCAATCACACCCTCTCCCACTAATTTGTTCAATTCAGCGGAGAACCTGTCACGCAGTGCAAATGGAACTCTCCTAGCCGGCAGCACTGTCGGTCGCATCAAAGGATCTAAAGACAAGTGAACGTTCCCAAACCTGGGCTAAATACAGACGGATACTGGTCACTAATATCGGTTTCTCCCTAGCAAACATTCACAACACGATCATGATTAAAAACAACAAAACCGAGAGACTGGATCGAATCACTGCCGAGAGGCAGCATCGGCTCCTCTTTCACGATCACAAACTCCAGTCGATGTGAGGCTCCGTTTTTTCAGTTAACCACTTCGATTGTAGCTTAGTCCTTCGGATGAAGTCTGGAACCATTCCACATACGCAGACAATCTTGACGGGATCGAATGCACACACTGGGACAGTGCTCCCTAGGTAGAATGTTGACAATAGCACCTGTGTCTAACTGGAATCGTACGGCTTTGCCTTCGATCAAAAGAGTTGCGTAAACACATTTTTGCGGTACCCTCCGAGACCCGTTGCCAACTGAATGCTCTGCATCTGCGGGGGACTTGTCACGAACGACCGCAGCAACGAGCAAAGTGGTTCTATTTTCCACATCTAGCGTATTTCCGTCCCCATGCGTGTGCGTGCCTGGTTTTCCCAACCGCGTCAAGAGAAAGAACTCACACCGGCTCTGCACACAAACTGTCTATTCACAAATCTGAAGTAATGTACAATTAGCTGGGAGTTCAAAAACTCACTCCTGCACTCGATCGATTGCCTGGTCGATAGCACTGAGGCAGGCGATTGTCCATGCCCCCGGTTTCAGCCACCATCATATCCTTCCCTTTTACTTTTTATGTAGTTTTTGTGTTGCATTCGCCATATCCTCATCCGCTGCGTGAGAGGTTTCGATCTAAAGGCATGACAGTCGCAAGAAGGTTAGACTGCATTAGAACCTTAGCTGCCGTCATCAACTTCCGTTTGACCTGACCGAAGAAACGCTGAACCGAATATGTCACGATTTCGGTAGATAGCACTCTTTTCCTTCCAGTATCATCAAGCGAGGGTCCTCCTTCGTCTCTTTGACACTGATAAGTCGTTTATTTATTTTATTTTCAGCTTTTATGACAATGTTCCTTTTCGGCTGCAGCCTCGGTCCGCTCGACTCTTTGAAGCGACTGTGTGTTGTACTGCACTCCATTGCTATGCAGCTTTCCAAGGGTAGGATGCTGTCAGTGGTTCATAGATCAGACTATGATGACGTTGATCGCTTTTGTGTCAACGGCGTTGGAAAGACGCACACTTGTTCGCTAAGGCCGTTTGAGTACTTTATTGTGGAATCTTTCGTCGCTTGGTGACATTCATTGTCCACTGAACTGGCATCGACCAA